TTAATAGATTGAATATTAAGGTAGTTGTAGAAGCAAAATAAATAATGTGTTCTTTTAAGATTTGCTTTTCCCATAACTCCTTGTTTAAGGTGAGGATTATCTGACTCTAACTGGTAACTTCATTAACCTAACAAAGTTACCACCCTCGCCAGGGTGAATTTACAATGGATATGGCCTATCTTGTGTCTGTGACTTGTAAATAGGAACTGGAATTGTATTTACATATCAAAGACCACTAGGGGTGAGATAATGACTAAAAAGGATATAAAAAGGGAAATGCTGAACAAAGCAGGTGTGGATACTGACCAGAGTGGTTTCTGGCATTCCGCCTGCTTGGGAGAAGAAATGTTATTATTTTATCCAAATTCTGTGTCTCTGTGTATTTCTTTCCGAGATTTCTGCAACACTTGTGTTTCTTAAATAGTCCTTTAATATAGTTAAACAAATTTCTTTTCTTCATATGCCATTATTTAATACAGAACATTGGGAAAAATGGAGGATTCACTATGTAGAAAACTTAGATTTTTCAGGGAAGATATCTTTTTCTTGAGATGAACAGAAATGTGTTTGGTTTGAAAAGGGCACATTTGACTGTATGGTTCTATCTAGACTTTCCCTCAAAGCTTCATGTAGTCATAGATGGGAGTTTCAAAGGTGGCTGGATTTTACTGTGTGAATGTGGAGTAAGGGTGTGATACTAGGCTTAAGGGTGTGGATAATGGAAGCCCCACCCAGGGTATGGTGGCATCTGGTTTATAACCTGGATAGAATATAAAGGCACAGAAAGAAGGCAGGCTTGCTCCTGCTGGATGATGCTGATCATTGCCTTCTACTTCCCATGCCATGGACTGTTTCTCCTCTGCAATGACCCTCTGCCATGCTGCCCTGCCTTGGAACCAGCTGATTATGGACTGAACCCACTACAAACTGTGAGCTGAAATAAACCTTTCCTCCTTTGACTCTGGGTGTAAGTATTTTGTCTCAGCAAAAATAAGAATAAAAATAACCAGGACACTGAACAAGCCTCCTGTTGTGGTTTAGATCTAGAATGTCCCCTAAAAGTCTCATTTGTTAAAAGGTGAGACTTTTAAAAGGTGATTAGATATGGGAGCTCCAAACTCATCTGTGAATTTATTATCCATTGATGAGTTCACAGCTGAGTGTGCTGTTAGGAGGTGGGACCTTGTTGGAAGAGGTAGTCAATGAGGGAGTGCCCAAAAAGTATATTTTTGTACCTGACTCCTCCCTTCTCTCTTTGCTTCCTGGCTGTCATGAGTTGAACATTCTTTCCTCCACCATTTTTTCACACCATTCTTTTCTGCCTTATAACCAGTCAACCATGGACTGAAACAATAAGCCCCCCGCAAAAAAAACCTCTCCTTTAAATTGTGGGTGTCTGGTATCTTGTCCCAGTGACAAGAAAGTAATTAAGACACCTCCTCTGAGAGGAAGTTCTAAAACATTCATACAAAATTCTGAGTCATATAATTGAAATCCACTTGAATGAAAGAGAATCCTAATTACTTTCATTTCTGGTCCACATAAATCCAAAGCATATATATGTTTTTATTATTGCATATCAATTTTACAAAATATTGAATTTCATTATGGCATTTTTATACATGTGTATTTTATCATATCTATCCCCCTGCTATTCTTACTTATAACTCCAGCCCCTTATTCTCTTCCTGTTTAACAGTCTCCCATCTTGTCTCATGTCAACTTTTCTCTTTTTCAGGATTAGAGACTGTATACTATACTTGACTTTCTGGGTCTGGTTTATTTCACTTAACATGCAGATCTTCAGTTCCATTCATTTTCTAGTAAATGACAACATTTTGTTCTTCCTGATGGCTGATTAATACTCTATTGTGTCATTGTGTGGGTATATGTGCATATGTATGTATTTGTGTGTTTGTGTGTGTATGTCCCTTCATTCATGATGGAAACCTAAATTTATCCTGTCTTGGTTATTGTGAACTGTGCTGCAATAATCATAGACATGCTGTTCTCCCTAAAGAATGCTAACTTTAATTCCTTCAGGTATATACCAAGGAGTAATATAGCTGGATCAATGGTATCTGTATTTTTAGCTTTTTGAGAAACCTGTATACTGATTTCCTTAGTGGCTA